TATTTCATAGCTTGCACATAAATGGTTCACACAAGTACATGTGGAGTAATTTTGTAGCTCGTACATAGAGGCTTTTTTATTTTTTTTTATTTTTTTTAAAAGCATGTTTCACCAAAGCAAGGGCATGACTTTACAATAGTAGGGATTATGACTTTACAATAGCATGTGCTGAAGGCTACTTTATATGCACGATAGTGAAGCAAATAATACAACGAACCTAGTCCTCTCCACTTGAGGAGATATTTCTCCATATACCCAAATTACTTGTCGGTACATCACGTGTCATACTAAGTAAACATCTGATGACTTTATGCTCTTTGTGAACTCTAAATTGTTTAGTTAGCATTTTACAACTGATATAAACAAAAAAAAAAAAAATATGACGCATATTAATGAAATTTTCCAATACCCAGAATGACCTTTAGCAATTAAATAAATTATACATTGTACCCGTCGACATCGTCGTCAACCTGCCACGTCTCTCTTCCGTCCTCTCACAACTGTTTATAAATAGTTTATATAAATCTTATAAATATCATAATAAAAGAAAAGATAAAAAAAAATATTATATAATATTCAACATCATATCTTTTTTATTCATTTTACAAAGTCGCAGTGATTTTACATAAAAATTTACCAAACACTTTAACATTGCTTTTTTTTTTTTGCTAAAAGCACTTTTACAAAAAAATTTACCAAACACTCTATTGCTTTATTTCACAGCTGTTTATTCTTGCAGCACAGCAGAAGCAGTTTTTTTTCAAAGCACAACAATACCAAACCAGCCCAATTGTTCCTTGAAGGTAGCTAGTAAATTTACTTATACTATAACACGTGATGTAAAAACTCATGTTTTGAACACACTAAAATATCTGTCTCACTTGATAGCAATGTATCACATAAAGATGTTAAGCATTTCCTGTTTCGACTATTCAGATATGAGCACAACTTACACGCATTTGCCATTCTGTGCATATATATGCGACCAAAGTTAATGTGAATAAATTTTTTAATGTTAGGAACACGATTCGGTACACCAAGTGATATAATATTGAATTTTTTTTTTCAAATTTCTAACTAATTATATTATTATACTTAGTTTACTAAATCGTGTTCTTGACACACTAAAAATTGTGAGTGAAACAACGAATGAAATGTGGACCCGGATTCTCTATGTGGGGATTCGAAGGATCAATTAATCGTGTTCGTTCATCGTATATTGTGTGGTCAATTTTCTTCATGTACTCTTTATATTTAATTTTAAATAAAATAATTTAAAATAATTTTTAACCGCACAATGTACAATAAACGAACAAGATTGATTGATTATTTGGATCCTCATAAATAAGATCATGATAGGATCCTATTCCATGAAATGTATAACAAATTAACAATAAAAGGGAGGCCATTCCTATTTTCCAAGAGATGCAGATCTTGCCCCTCGCAACCAATCTATATAATACAATATAATTTTAAATGTTTCTATATCTCTCTTGCATTATCTCACGCGAGGGCGCGCATATATATACGAACTGTTATTAGAACTCTAAAAATCTTATTTTACACTTTTTATAAGTGTATTTTTCTTTTTAATTATAGAAAGTTTAGAGTGCCAAATGAAATTTTTAGATTACTAATAACAATTCCTTATATATATATACACACGTAGTCGACTCCAATCTTCATATGTATATCCATAGTCAAATTGCTGAAATTTTTTAGAGAGTTTGCTCATCTGTCTTCGCTTACGAAACTTAAGGGTGATACTTTCTTGCCTAGTTGTATCGCTTTGTTTGTTGGCTTTTGTTTTCTGGGTCAGATGCTTTCTTATACTGAGTTAAGATCCTTTCTAAATCCTTGTGTTCGAAACCTAAAAATCGGAAATCTGAGCTGTTGAAGAGAGAGAAATAGAGATTCATATCCTTAGTTTATGTGAGGTAGTCAAAATAGACTTCATGAGGACTACATGATTTAAAATGAGTTTTCCGGATCTTTGAGTCTATAGGTTTCAGACATAGAGATCCAGAGAGAATCTCAATTCTCTTATACTAACATTTCCTTGGCTCTTTGTCTCTTTTGAGGGCTCTTGTTTTTTATGTTTAAGTTGTGCATATGTAAGTTAAACCAGTTAGATGACAATGTAGATTCTCCCTTCTCCTAGATTAGACTGGTCAAAATGATCGTCTTGTTGTAAAATTAATTAAAAACTGATATTGATCTGGCTTTTTGGATGATTTTTTTTAAGGAAATACTTTAATCAATGGATGTGACGGACTTAACACCCAAGTCAGCTCAAAAGTTGTTTGAAGCAGATGGAGGAGCATATTACATTTGGTCGAGTTCAGATAATCCGGTGCTTGCTGAGGTCAAGGTTGGTGCGGGCAAGCTTGTTCTTCAACCGCATGGTTTTGCTCTTCCTCACTATGCAGATTCCTCCAAACTGGGATATGTTCTTCAAGGTAATTAATAACTAATTAACTACAGCCTGCAAATACATATATAATTAACTGCACTTATGATTATCATGTTCACATGTAAGAGATTTTTCATTGTACTTGGAACATGAGACGGAACATTATATGTCATTATACAATAGGAGGAAAGTTTTTTTTATTCAAGCGTCCATCCAATTACAAAATGACATGTGGTGTTCTACCTTGTGTTCCGAGCATATTGAAAAATCTCTCTTCACGTACATGTGTGCGTATTTTAGTTAACTGTTTTTGTAATAAAAATGGAAAGCAAAGTTTGTTATTTGTTCATCAATGCCCTTATTATATAGCTAGTTATATGATGGAAACCAAGAGTCATACTTATGTTTCTAGACTATAATGCTTATATAATTATCGGTTATGAATCTGAACCACATATTCAATCAATAATCAAGTTGATTAAGGTGGCGAAGAAATTCACATAATCTGTATTTTAGATTTACAACCTGACAAAATAATGATAACAGATGATGTTGGTGATGTTCTTTTAAGAAAGAAACTAATAGTGAATGATCATTTAGCCATGCAAAGAGATCATTTAAAAAAGTATGTTAATTTCATTCATCATCGTCCTTGTTACGATAATCGACCTGGTGATCGATCAGTTGGACCAAAATAATCAACATGATCAATGGTTCAGATTTAGTTATTCGCATGAAAGCATTAAGTTATTAACTATAGTTGAAGATCTTAATTAGCACTCATGGTGATGCAGGTGATGATGGACTAGTAGGAATGGTATTCCCTAACACATCAGAGGAGGTGGTGGTTAAGGTTAAGAAAGGAGATGTGATACCAGTGCCAACTGGAACAGTCTCATGGTGGTTCAACAACGGAGATCGCTCTGATCAGGAGCTTGTTGTTGTTTTCTTGGGTGAAACTGCCGGAGCTCAAATTCCCGGTCAATTTTCATACTTTTTTATTGCCGGAACGCTAAGTCTACTTGCAGGTTTCTCAACTGAATTTGTCAGCAAGTTCTTCAACATCACCGAGGACGAAGCTGATGACATCACCAAAAGCCAGACTGGGGTTTTGATCATCAAGCTCGGTCAAGATGAAAAGACCAAAATGGCCCTTCTCAATCAGAAACTCACCCACAAACATGTTCACAACATCACTAGTAGTAAACCTACAGCTACATTGACTGAGACGGAATTTCCTCCTCTTAAACAAGCTGGGTTAAGTGCGAACCTCACGAAACTCGAGGCCGACGCGATTAGCTCTCCAATTTACGCACCTGATTCCACAGTCCAGGTGATTTATGTTGCTCGAGGGAGTGGCCGGATACAGATCGTGGGTGTTAACGGTCAACGTTTGTTGGACGCAGAGGTAACTGCGGGGCAACTGCTTGTGGTACCAACGTTCTACATGGTTGCTAAACTTGCAGGACAAAATGGGTTGGAGTGTTTTGCTGTCATGACCAGTTCTCAGTAAGCACATTGAGCTGTCACAACACCACTACTTTAATTTCAGTAGTACTTCATTTTTGCTATTTATTAAATGAATCCATTTCGATAATGAACTATAATGAAGTACAAATTATTCTCATTGGACACAAAAAATTGATGCCCATATTAACGCACTCTATAATTCTAATACAAGTAGGTCTCACGTATAATTGTGTAATCCATTTGTATTAAAAAGTGTGTCAGTGTTGTATGTATAAATAATTTTATTGCTAACGATTATTATTGTGCAAAATAATATTGAAATGTCACAACAACATTACTTCAATTTTAGTAGTATTTTTTACAGACTGAATTATTGCCGTATGAAACAGTATGTGTATGTATATATATATGCACGCGCGCGCTCGCGTGTGTTAATTTAGTGATATACTTAATTGGTATTATTTTTGCAGGCCTGTCTTAGAAGACTTAGCTGGGAAGACATCAGCATTGGGAGCATTATCACCGGAGGTACTACAAATAGCCCTTAATATAAGTCCCGGGCCAGAACAACTTCTCAAGTCAAAGATTAGAAAGGGGTGATCGATCATGATCAACGGTTCAACGGCCTAATTATATATCTATATATATATATATATGTATGTATGTAATATTAATAAGCAGATCCATGCATCATGCATGATATATTACTGCAATGCAAGAGTGAGATACGGTCTTTCTGTATGTAATTTTCACTACAAGAATTTAAGCTATAGCACACCCCTTGCATTGGTGCGGATTAAGATGAAAGAGCACCGACATCGGTGGCAATTATCAGCAGCCACCATGCAGCCACTGAATAAGAATCCGATGTCCTATGTAAACATCTTCGTTGTAACAAACGCCACCATTTCTACATCCGTGTTATTTATTTATAATTAAAAATAGTAAGTAAATCTTGTCAGAGAAAGTGTCCAGATTCCTTTTTTTTTTTTTCAGAACGGAGTAGGATTTTCCTCTCCTATTCTTATCATCTTCCCTCTCTTCCTTTTTTATTATTTCTATAAAAAAAAAATTAATATAAGATATTAATATGATTAAACTGTACCAATTCAAATAAGAGGAAAGATGACGCCCTCTGAGCACCCATTGCATTGTCTAATCCCATTATTAATGTCAGTGTCTTTTAATAAAATTTAATATTTTTGCAATCAAGTCCTCCAAGACAAACTTGCAATCAAGTCCTACAATTTCATAAAATACTTCCATCCATCTTCCATCGGTAGCGTTCTTGAACAACCTGGGCAAAATTATAAAAACTTGTAAGATAATATCACATAATCATACTAAATTTAAAATAGTTAAAAACAACTAAAACAAATTAAAATCTACCTCCATAAGAACTTCATAGTTCATATCTGAATAAATCACTTAAGATCCGATTGTTAAATCATCTTCTACACTTCTTTCTATCTATCAAAAAAGTTAACAACGCAAAAAAAACCACAAATAAAAAACATCATAATTTACTTAAAAGAGCAACGAAAATTAAATTTTTAGTCAGAATGAAAAAATAAAAGAAAAATGATTATAGCGAAAACAGAATAGTTATACCTCTCTATGCATCCTCCTCAATGCCAAACCTTTTTGTACTCAACACTTTTCACTGCAGAACAACAATCCATCGTATGAATTAACAAAAAATTGCATGCAGAGGAGACCCAGGCGAGATCTGAAAATATACATTCAAATCTTAGAAGATATGAGCTCAAAGTGGGAAAAAACTCGAACCTGATCTGATACAAAGAGAGGAGAGAGAGAGACCATGATGCATGAGCAGTGTTGGCGATGGTGGATAACGGATAGGAATATGGAAAGGATGGGGTTGAAAGAAAGGAGCTTCAGGGTTGAAATTGAGGTTTGAAAAGAACGCTAAAAGCCCAATGAAAAAAAAAAAAAAAAAACAGAATAGAAAAGCCGACGATGGACGTCGGGTGCCTAAGCCGTCGACTCTCAAAATGGCAAACTGAATGAAAGCAAAATCGGATCTGAAATTGAGGAAAAGGAAAGAACTCTCACAGAGAGAGAGAAGCTCCTACAAAGGGAGAGAAGAGCTCTCACAAACGGGAGAGAAAAACTCTCACCAACTCCTCTGCAATCCAAAATAAAACAAAGGGGAGAGAGAACTTTATCTCCTAGGGAAAAGGAGAAAGATTGTCTGCGCTCCTGTTATCATGCCTTTCCCATCCTTCCTATTTGTGCGGTTACGGTTTAACCACGTCAAATATTTTATATTGATTTTTTAATAAAGATAATAAGATAAAAAACAATAGGAATATAAAATGTTGACGTAACTTAACTGTGACTGCACAAATATGAGAGGATGAGAAGGGTACGGTAACAGAAGGGCAAACAATTTGCCTCCGAAGGAAAAACACAAGAGGAAGAAGAAAAACATTGATGTAGTTTAATCGTGACCACATAAATAAAAAGGGATGGAAAGAGTATAAGATGGGAAGGGCAGACAATCCAGATCTAAGGAAAAAACGAAGAGAGATGTGACCGTGAAAACAAAGAGACAGAGGGGGGGAATCAAAGGAGAAAGAGGAAAATGAAGAGAGAGAGTTAGCTGATTAGATTTGAGCACAATATAATAACAATTAAAAAACTTAATAATTATTACTTTGACATAAAAAGAATCTAATAATTATTATTTTGCATGTATAAAGCAAAATAATGAATTTGTAGGTTATAAATTTGAAGAGTGACACTATCATCGATGTCGGAAAGCCTAAAGGACACCAAACATACACAGCTGTGCAACCGACTCTTAAAATGACACAGATGGTGAATGGTGTCCCCAAAACAGTGTTCTATGTATGGCCTGTTTTCTAGTAGTGTTTTTTGAATAAAATTTGTGAATGGATCCCAGTGACAATGTAAGAATTCACTATTGATAAAATACAATACACTCTCTGTTTGTTGAATAAAATTCTGTGAATGATGACGATGACAATTGTGTACACATAAATCCATTTCACCAAAGCTGAGACTTGGCAAGTAGAGATTATGAGCCCCGCTATCATCTTCCCTTCTTTCCCTCTTCTCATTTGCATCTCGTCTCTTTTCCCTTGCTCAGTTGTTCTTCTCTTCCCCTTGTATTTTCTTCAAATGTTTTATCTGTTCCCTTTTCGTCTCTTTCTCAAATCAAACAAAATTGGTCAAACTGAGCTGAATCTGAACTGAACTAGTTATACCATTTAAATTTTATCTTCCATTTTTTAAGGTGAAGCAAATCGAACCAAACCGTTAATTAGTCAGTGTTTAAGCATGTATATAGGGAATCGATTATCGAACACATTTGCTGACTTCATGCTCTTTGTGAGCTCTAAATTGTTTAGTTAGTATATATGTATTAAGATATATTTTCGTAGTCGCATTATTCAAACCACTGAAGTTGTAATTCGTCTGTTTAGACTTCGTCTAATGAAATTTCTCTACCATATATTGACAAAAAAAAAATGCATGTATTATGGCTGAGATTATACACACGACAGTGAAACAAATAATACTATGTACCTAGTCCTCTCCATTGCAGTAGATCTATTTTCATGTACCCGGAACACGAGCTTGTACATTACGTGTTATAAGAGTGTTGAATCCCACATCGACCAAGTAAAAGAAAAGTAAATAGTTTAAATATCTTAACCTCACTCTAACTAACACCGATACCTTTTGTGATAAAATCTCACACCTGACGGATTGTGCAAGTGGTAATTACAAAGTTGAGGACAATATCAGTGTTGTTGGAAGTGGGTCTTTGGTCTGTCCCATCTTTCTAATAATTCTACATGGTATCAGAATCAAAAAGCGGACCCGTACTATACTGCCACATGATGGGTGGGTCTCATTGGCCTCGCGCGATGATGGATGGGTCCCATTGGTCCCTCGTGTAGGGTGAGTCCCCTTAGCTCCACGTGGTTGCTGATGTGTGGATCTTCCACGTGTGACCCACTAATTAGGTCCCACGTGAAGGGGCGTGTTGAATCCCACATCGACCAAGTAAAAGAAAAGCAAATAGTTTAAACATCATAACCTCACTCTAACTAACACCGATGCCTTTTTGTGATAAAATCTCATACCTGACAGATTATGCAGGTGGTAATTGCCAAGTTGGGGACAATATCGGTGTTGTTAAAAGTGGACCTTGAGCCTATCTCTCTGATAATTTTACATGGTATCAAAGTTAGGAAGCAAGCCCTGTACTGCCATGTGATGAGTGGGTCCCTTTGGCCCCACGTGTAGGTTTAGTCCTCTTAGCCCCGCGTGTAGACCTCCCACGTGTGACCCACTAATTGAGACACATGTGAGGCGGCATGTTGAATCCCACATCAGTTATACAAAAAGAGAAATTATAGCTTAAATATCATAACCCTACTCCAATTAATATCGATGGCTTTAATGATAAACACCCCACACCTGATGGATTTGGCAGGTAGTAATTACCAAGTTGGGAATAATATTAGTGTTATTGGAAGTGGGCATTTGGCTAATCTTTCTGATAATTCTACATGGTATTAGAGCCAGAGAATGGGCCTATATGTATTGCCACGTGATGGGTGGGTCACTTTGGCCCCGCCGATAATGGTGGGTCCCTTGACCCTGCGTGTAAGGTGAGTCCCTTTAGCTCCACGTAGTTGCCAATGTATGGATCTCCCACGTGTGACCCACTAATTGGGTCTCATGAGAGGGCATGTTGAAACCCCATATCGGCTAGAGAAATAAAGAAAGAAGAGTTTAAATATCTTAACCTCACTCCAACTAATATCAAGGCTTTTTGTGATAAAACCCCACATCTGATGAATTTTGCAGGTTGTAATTACTAAGTTAGGAACATTATCAATATTGTTAAAAGTGGGCATGCAGCCCATTTCTCTAATAATTCTACAAAGAGAACATATATTTTTTAGTGTCCCTTGGTAAAGATTGTCGTAATATTTATAATAAATTCACTTTAATTATGACGCATGATGTATATATTTATATTCTGTATACAGAAAAATCTCTCTCAAGTTGGGGATACGTGTGAATAGCATGTATCACGTAACAATGTCAAGTCACCATTTGAATTAGGAATGCAGTACACCTCGCATTTGCTATTTTGTACATATGCAACCAAAGTCTGGAAAATGTCAGCGAAGCAATTTACAAGGGACCAATAAACAACGACGCGATGCATTTGGGAACTCGAGGTGTGTGTGTTACGTACACGGAGGGCTGACTATATGACGGGTCCAACAAATCTTACAACAGCATGATATCTCGGGTCATAATAATTGAGAGATTTTTTTATGTGCTTGAAATATGGGGTAAACACAACATTTCTTTATACAATTGGAGGTATAAGCTAAAAATAAAAAAAAATCTCCAATTGTTCACTCCTTTTTTATTTTTTTGGTTGTGAGGAATGCCATCAAGCCCAATCAACAACATTAATTAGTTTCGGTATAGTATCTGCTTTTGTTTAGGTTGTAAACACTTGTGAGATCATCTTCAATTCTCGAGTAAAACATAAAAATTTTAATCCATAAACAACTTTTCTAGTACAATTCTTCTGTCCTAAAATTTTAGCCATTAAATAATGAATTTAGGCTATTTTTTTTTCTTAAACTTTTAAATAAAAAAAATTATGTAGAATATCTTAATTTAATTTTATGAACATTTTAATCTAAAAATACTTAATATTGAAAAATCACAAATCAACACCATGAAACCAGTTAAACACTATGAAAAAAAATATGAAATACATAAAAGATTTTTTTTTTTTAATTACTTTAGCCGTTAGATTTAAATTTGGACCGTTAAATTTTTATTTTTTTTTACCGTTAAATTTTATCAAATTAGATCTTAACAGTTGGATTCAATGAATTTATAAATATAAAACTAAATAAAATACACATATATGGTGGGCCAGCCCCACTAATCCTGGGCTAAATCTGACTTTTTTTTAGGTTTTAGGTTTTAGCTTTCAGCCCACACATTTAGCATGAGTTGGGTTGGATTTGGGGGAATAAAACCTAAAAAATAGCATTTAACCCAGAGTTAGATTTGGTCTAAGTGCTGAATTAATGTCCCAGCGTCCTATCTGGATTGACCTATTTCAATATATTAAAAACGTGAGAAAGTGGTTGACAAGTGTACAAATAATATATGCGTTTGGTATGTGAATTTTGTTTGGTTTATGTGTATCAGTGTATTTGGTTGAATACGATTTATGTAATACTAATAATATTGTGAGTTTTTAATTGACCTAAACCAAAACTCCTTATTAATACTTACGAGGTCACAACCGTTAGAACTAGGAAAGTCAAAGTCTCCAATAGTCATTGCACCTAAGCATAATATCGGGACCCATTAGTAAAACTCAACTAAAACTTTTAAATTTGGGAAAACAGAGTGCTGATTTGGAATCAGGGCGTTGAAATATCCTAAGAGGAGTCCCGGGCAAATTTCGTAAAATGTCAACAGGAAAGTCAATGGTCAACTACGTTAAAACTTTAGAATTTCACTAAATAGATGTCAAAAATAGCTCGGGGCATCGAAATAAGCTTAGGAGAGTCCCGAAAAAGTTTCGTAAAAGTGGATGCAAAGAATATTTCAAGAATATTCCAAAGAATATTCTAAGAATATTTCAAATGATTTTATTATTATTATTATTTTAAACTTTGGTCCAGTCACGTTTTGTTTTGCGCCCCCTTCAGGTAGAATTAAGGCCTACGATCCCGATATTAAGGCACTCCCGCATCGGTATCTTCAAATCCTCTTGATGTATGATTCACTTTCTTTGTAATCACATTTGTTTCGTAATATTCCTTTCGCACTATTCTTGATTAAATGTATGTTTTGAACACATTCCCGCATCCACACATTTTCATTATATTTAAATTTAGGGACACTTTGGATGTAGTCCCTAACTACCAATATTCTTTGACTGAAACCTTTGTAGTTTTTAATTTTTGATCGAAGTCCCTGACATTAATGTAATAATATATTTCTATGTAGGTTATTATATTCGTAAATTAAAGTTATTTATATTAATGAGATTTTAAATAAAATTCATAATTTATGGGAGTAAAAATATTAAGGATGAATTATACTCTCCAATATATTGCGTGCGTGTGTATATACACACACAAGGGCACGTTTATCAAAA